AAAAAAAAAAAAAAAAAACAGAGATATGACAACCAAGTACCTGATCTATACGACCGTGAATAGTATTATCCAAAATACAAGATACCAAAAGACTTTCCACTTCCGAAACGTCAATGTTCAATTCTTTACTTATGAAAGGGATATAGATTCGGGTATAAGGTCGGATTAACTTAATTAAAACCTAAAATCAATAATAATAATAAAACATCACAAAGAGCACAATACGAATATAATGCATACCTGAGTACGTATGTTCCGTAACAAGTCCTCGATGTGTTCTCTAATAAACGGATCATCCATTATGTTGTTTCTATTTTGTTTTAAAATTAATTCGAATTGATTGATGTCATTATTTTGATAACTGACAACTAGATTTGTCATAGCTAAAATTTCAGGATCGTTCTTGTATGGCTTTGCTTCTTGCGAATCAAATGGATTAATACCAGATTTCATTAACCTGCAGATACAATGTACACGTATCTCTAAACTGAATATATATTCCGTGTGTATAGGCAGCTGTAAATAACGAATAATCATACTTACATATTAGCCAAAACTAAGTACTTCAAACACGTTGTGCGTCGTGGTGACCCAGACTCGTCATAGTTTTTAAAGGCTTCAAAGAAGTCAGTGTGAGCTCTTTCAAATTCACCTTCTCTCAGATGCATCTTACCACCGCATTCTGAAAGTACAATCATTTAACTGTTCTTCTATGTAAGTGTAGCAGCAGTGTGAAAAGACATACAAAATTTATTGCGTCTATAAAAAATATTTCTATTTTTACCTCTGATGACACCCATGATAAGTGGATGTGGTATAGCACTTTTAATGTGAAGGCTTTGTTCATAAAGTGTTTTTAATTTCTTATTATTTTTTTGTGCAGTATACATTTGTATTTCTAAGGCATAAATCTCCAATAACTGCGTCCCTTTCTTCAGATCATCTTCTCCGTCATCAGTCTAAACAGTAAATATATTTAACATGAAAGTGAAAAAAAAAAAAAAAAAAAAAAAAAAAAAAAAAAAAAAAAAAAATATAATGTACAAATACAAGTATTTAGCATACA